AGTATCAAAACCCGGTTTCTAGCGTTGTAAGTCCGCAGACATACCGCTGTGCTACTGGGGGGCGAAACTGATATGAATCGGATCTGTGTGTTTTATTGTATATCAGTAGTAGATAGTGATATTTACTGAGTTCCACAATGTCAAACGCTTCTCTGTTAATAACATTCTAAGACTATTTTTCGCTGGGTTATTATAATTCCTCTTTGAAATCTATTCAAGTAAATTTAATTGAACTAACGTGTCATTCATCTTCACTTCTCATTGGCTACATCAGTCCAAGTTACTTTTGTGAAACAGATTAATCTTTAATTTCCTCTTCTTTTTTTTTTTGTCTATTTCTATCTGTTAATCCTGTTATTGTTTTCAAATTTTAAAAGGTTTGTATTGCGTCCCTCCAAAAACTGTGTAACCAGTAAGGTTTTTATTTCGTTTTAAACCATTCTGTCATTTAAATTTTTACGTAACAATAATATAAGTTGCCATTCTTAGTGTAAAACAACACCACAGGGAATCGAACCCCGAATTTAAGCGTGATAAGTTGGGAACTTACTGCTGGCCCACTAGGGGATTAAAATATAAGTAATTCCTATCAAATGCATTACAATGCCAACTGTCACCTAAGCAATTTCAAATGTTACTTCATAATATTTGTTTGATACAAATATTATGTATACAAAACTAGAGAGTCATTTGTTTTTGAATTTGATGAAGAAATCAATATAGACGTTTAAATAACGAAATGAAAAATATTTGTAAGAAAGTTTATAGAAAGACACGAATTAGTGGCTTACTCCTTTTATTTTTTTCATAACAGATTCTGAGAAGTTTTTGCACTTACGAGGACTCCTACAGTGCCGTAAGCCTCGTTTATATAAGTGACGTAATTTCATTTTCTTAAGAACGTCATTTCTGTACAGTGTAAAGATTAGTGTGCAAGAGCCGTTTAACTCTCAAGTTTTCGTGTAGTTGAGTGAATGTGTCAGGTTTGTTAAAAAAAACACACACACACACTCGCAAAAAACTATCTCTATGATAAAGGTGGCATTTCCGAAATAGGTTGAGAATATAATACAATTTTGTTTTTCTGTAGTTTCCTGCTTTGTTTAATACCATTAACTGAACGTTGAAAAACTCACATTGTGAAAAAATCATTAAAAAAAATCCATATTTCAGGTTTGGTTTTCTTAAATGAATGAAACCTTGAGGTTTTCTTCTTCGCTTTTCAAGATTTGAAAACTTACGACCTTGATCCAGCACTGAATAACAAACAGTACGACAACCAGACTGAAACAGACAACTCGCCGATGTGACGCGGGAGCTCCTTCGTAAAAACACAGACTCGTGCTAGAGAAACAATACTTTGAAGGCAATGAAAACGCTTTTGCTAAGCTAATAACAAACCTCCATATTAATGACATTGTTAAATCATTTTAGTTACTTTCCTGCTAAAGAAGTTGTCTCCACTAGTTTTAAACATACCCGGTTGCATTTCGACCAAGCGTGTATCTAAGTTAGTGGCTTATTTATACAATCATTCAGAAAGCTTTCAACGAAAATAACAGTTCTCACTGATTCTGATAATAGAAAAAGTTAACAATCAGATGAAAATAACAACAATAATAATGTTAACAGATTTAGTGTTAAGTCTCAATACTATATGAAAAACAAATAGCCGTATTTTATATTTTTATTCCGAATGAAATAACAATAAAACTTGTTGTTATAAACGTAGTGACTACGACTGGTGCTGTCTCTGTTAGTAAGACTGTCTATCGCCGTCCTTGATTTTGAACTGCTGACCAGTTGGAAATCAGGCAGTCAGCAGCACACTACCACCCACCATCTACGCTAACGGTCTAACTTGACTGTCATTCTTCTAATGCTGGCTGGAGACGGCTTGAATGGGTAATGAAGAAAAACTTTAATATAACAGCAAATGTACAACGTTTCGAAAAACCTTGTCGAAACGTTGTACATTTGCTGTTATATTAAAGTTTTTCTTCATTACCCATTCAAGCCGTCTCCAGCCATTATTAGTCTCAAAGTGGGTTCCTCGTCATCGAATTCTTCTAATGCATCCACAATTCACAGTGCAGTTAATATTGTTTGGTATTCGAAGGATTCGATTCCGATACGCCAGGTCCGAAATCCAGAACTCCATTACAGGGTCGACCCGTAGCCAATTTCGAATATAATGTTTAGAGCTTCAAAGTTTTGGAACATGTCGATATGGCATAACATTAACTGTTGTGATAAAACTTTCCGTATTTACACTTAAAACCTCTTCTCACTCATATTTAGCAGAAAAGTGACCATTTTGAGTCTACTTTTGGTATTTTCACGTAAAACCTTTAACCCCTTGTGGTGCTTTCAGGTAAGATTGATTATACTCAAAGTGATAAGACAAATATTATTGATAACAGGAGATTCGACACAAACTGACCAAAGCAATTCTATACACCATGGCTACTGCACTACTGAAGTTATGGTAACTAAATAAAGACTGAACATAAGTATATAATTACTATGAACAATCTTTATTTAAAACAAACATGGTTAAAATATATACTTAACTGCTCACAAAGAACAGTTGCCTTTACTGACAGTTAGTAGTAATTTGATGATCTCAAGTTCCAAACTGTATCTATCTAGATCATATTCCAGAGTTGATCTAGTTCTGGCTTGAATAATTCTCACATAAACTACTTAACTCTCTTTGCACGGCTCGGTTGAATTGACGGACCACTTTGTACTCGTTTAATGTCGTTATAGTTTTGATACTACTAACTTTTAATATAGTAAGTGTATCTTTACAAAATTTGGCAGACTTTCAGTAAACAATACAATTCTTTTACATTCAAAAAATCAGAATTTTTAGTGAAGTATATTTAATAAACTAATAACAAGATTTGTCCACGAATATATCGAGTCTTTTTTAACTAGTCCGAGTGCAAAGTGATTTTCATGTTACGATTAAAAATCTGTAAAACCTCCTAAATACATTTCAAACTTTTTTCTCAGTAAAACTTTATATTTTATCTGTTATTTTCTCTACCTTAACTCTATACAAGGTTGGTCAATTTGACCGACCTCGTAACCACCAAAAAAAATCTAAATAAATCTAAATTACTTTTTATCTTTCTAGAATGACTTCATATTGTAATATGAAACTACATTCGTTTATCCTAAATAGCTTTAAACTTGTAACAGTAGACATCTATTTATACTTAAATTCTATTGTTTTATTGCCCTTTGAACTATTTCTAATTACTATTCGCGTCGATATAAGTTGTAAATCACTTGGGGAACGTAAAGAAACAACGTAATATAATATGCAATTTGATAGATCAAAACCTTGGCTTTCTATTGGTTATAAGTAATGTAGTATTAAAAGTAAGAGAGAACTATTAACAAATCCTGAAAGAGAGGATGTGACAGGTGAGTGTGGCAAGAGGGGTGTGATTTTTTATTTGGTGACTCTGTAGCCAAACAAGATTGAAGGCTAGGAAAATTGTGCTTTGTCTGAGTGATGACAATATCATACTGAGTAATT